GGGGACACAGGGTGACAATGGTGGTGGTGGCACTGCCCATCCCACGCCCACCCCATGGTGTCACCAGCTCACCTTGGAGCCGGACACGGCCATGTCCAGCTCGGTGCTGATGGCCACACACGTCACCTCGGCGTCGTGGCCGTACAGCACCTGGACGGGTTTGGGAGCCAAGCCGCTGGAAAAGCCACCCTGGTTGTGGGGACACGGGGACATCAGTGACACTGCTGGCAGTGCTCACCACGAGCTCCCCCTGCTCCTCGAGCCCTTACCTGCTGTAGGACCTGCCACACCATGCAGGTGGTGTCCCGTGAGCCAGAAATGAGGTAGATGCCACACAGGTCGAGCGACAGGCAGGTGACAACATCTGTGACAGCCAGAGGGACATCATGAGGTGCCTTTCCCCTCCCACCACACTCGTCCCCCTGACACCATGGGATGGCACCACAACGTGTTTTTGGATGTGGAATTGCTGCCAATCCCATTCCAAGATGTATTTTGGGCTGCTGCTCCTCACCCCACTCCAGCTCTGTGGATAAAACCTGGATTGTCCCCAGGAGATGGAGACACTGGGAGATGTCCCTCATGGTGTCACCTGCCTCACACCATGGCCCTACAACCCCATCAGGGCATTATCAGATCATCACCACCATCATCATCACCACCACGGGAGGAGGACGTACCTATGTGCCGGGTGATGTGCCCCACGACCTTGCCTTTGGCCAGCGAGGTGACACGGAGGCTGTTGTCCCAGTGTCCCCCGCTGAAGAGCAGCTTCCCGTCGGGGGACACGGCCAGCGTGCGCGAGCTCAGGTCGGCCCCGGGGGCGAAGGGGCCCTGCAGGAACCGCTGGGTCCTGTGGGGAGGACGTGGGATGGTGGTGGTGGATTGGTGGCACCTCCAGGGACCATCCCTGGGGAACTCCCCAGTGACTCACTTGGCGTTGGTGACAGTGGGGTCTTTGGTGAAGCTGAAGTAGTTGGAGATGTTCTTGTCGTAGGGCAGCCAGTTATGGGTCCCCAACAAGCCGTTGGCACTCACGGTGACCTGGGCAGAGGGGCAGGGGAGGTGACACCACTCTCACTGCTGGGATCCTCCCTGGTCTGGTCCTGGACCCCCCCCGGACCAGCAAAATGCCCTTGTGCCTCAGTTTCCCCACACTCACCAGGATGTCGGGGGATCCCTGAGTGATGAAGGAATGCGCCTGGTTCTTGGGGACCACGGCCTGCACCAGGGCCACCCCATCGCTGATGCCCTGTGGGGACACAGCAGCTGCTGAGCACCCTGCTGGCCACCCCACCCTCCCAGGGCTGCCCAGGGGGTGTCCTCACCTCCACAAAGAAGGACTTGAGCTGGCCCAGGTTCTCGAAGACGTTGGGGGAGCGGGTGTCGAGGGC